ACTACTTTACTTTTTTGAAATAGATTTTTTTAACGTATTACGTATGGAAGAAATTAATAAAGATATGAATTTTGTTAAGTTGATAGATTATAAAACACTTTTTTAATTGCGTTTCTAAAGAATCTTTAACACTATCTGTGACGGCCTATTTTTATTTTCTCAGTGATGGGGGGTGGGGATTTCTGGCCCCTCCTTTTTTTTATATCTAATATTTTTACATGCTGCTAGTGAGAGAACCTGTTGTTAAAGTATTTGAATCCCACCACTGGGTTAAATGCATGTGAATGTTCTTCCAAAATTATGTTAATATAAAATCTAGAACAGTTTTACAATGAAAACATATGTGGGGAATGTTTTTAGTTATATGGGAATAGTTCTCACAAACCCTCAATTATGTGTGTTTAGGAAAAAATGTTTAAGTAATTTTTATTCAACAAAGAACGATTTTTGACTTTTCGAATGTATAATCACGCAACCCTCTTTCTCTCGCCCCTTTCTGCTATGGAGCATTATGTGATGGTCAATCCCACTTTTCACTGGTAAAGAGCAGATCAGGATTTGGCTATGGGTAGTATTGACTGGGTGTCTTCTCTCTATTACTTCCAAATTAGAGATGGCTAGTACAGATAGCCTCCAGTAGCATTGTACGAAATTCAACAAACAAACAAACATTATATTGCATACAGTTGCCTGGAGCATGTGGACGACGTTTGCCACTGATCTGTGTTTGAGGATTCTCACCTTTTACAAGACACCATATTTTGCTTACCACTGTTGGGATACGACTTGTTACAGATCTCTCTCTGGATGGTCTTAGTTTCCTAAGTTGATCCATATTTCTTTGTTTTTCCAAAACCACTAAGTCAAAGGAGCATTCCTGTTTTGGAAATACTAAATTTCCAGTTTAAACACATTTTAATGATCTAAGTGTATGAATACTTTGCATCAGAATTGGCTGTCACAAATCCTTTCCAAAAGCAATAAATTTTCGCTGGCATCATGCTACCTACACTATGCTAAACCATATCCTAAAATAGTTCTGAAATAATCCGTTCCACCAAGACTTTATATTGATGAAAAGAATGTACTCAACCTTCTGTATACTGCGTGGGCCCAAAGAACATTAGGCACCAGTATAATGAGCAAAAAAACAAAATGTTCTATAGATTCAAAAGGTCATACTTTCTTTGAATATAAATAAATTATTATATTGCATGTTTGAATATAATTTTTTTGGATGAGAAAACGATATATGTTTCTCAGTTATAAAACAATTCCAGCTTGTGGTTATAGTTGTTAGTGCATTTACTGAAGTGTGTGTGTTTTACAAATAGCATAATGATTTCAAGTACAACATGTTTTTGAAGAATAGTAAGAACACTTTTATTGTAATAGGTTTTCAAAAACTATATTATCTTCACTTCTTATTTCAGATCATAAAAGTTGTTTATAAAAGTCATGTTGGAATCAAACTATTTTTTGAACTTCACTTCTGCTCTATTCAAACATGGGTAACAGTTACGTTAGTTTGAATTGCATTTTATTTAAACACCAAAGTAGAATTTGATGACAAGTAACCAACTTTTAGACAATAAAGTTTGGAGATGGCTTGAATGGGTGATGAAGAAATTTTTATTATAAGTTTAACGTAGTAAAAAAAGTTACAATGTTTTAACAAGATTTTGTCATCATCATCATTGTGGCGTCTTGTGACAGATGAGATTCCATGAACAAAAAGGTCAGTCTATGTATCCAAGAGGATAGTACATAACATACTCAAGAAGGATCTCCATCTGGAAAAGTGGCACAAACTGTTTCAACAACATATTTGTTCCTCCATCACATATCTTAAGCAGCTAGAATATTAAATAGATATTCATGCTATTCCATATGAGGACATGTTGGTCAAGTCACTGGACACAGCACCTATCAATTTATTTGCAATTGGACTGTTGAAAAAGGCACTGGGAACTGTAATCCTCATACAATGGATATATTATCCAAAGTATACAGGGAGGAGTGGTGAACGTTTGACATAACAGCATTGTAGTGGAGGCCTTTTGAAATAACAAGTGTGAAGCAGGGCTACTGTTAGGATGCACTGTTGTCAGATACAGCATGATCAGATGTGGTGACATGGAATATAATGGCGTGGTGAATCTCCAAAATATTAGAAAAGAACTCCCTTACTGCACTTCAGGAACATTATTACAGGCCTACCAGACCATAAGGCTCAATCATGCATGATGACTCAATACAAAGATGCATCATCTATTGCACAAAACAATAAGTTTACTCCGGAAATTTCTATTAGTAAATGTCTAAAAACGTTCGCCAAAACATTAACCTGAGTGCTCAGAAAGGAAGGATTACCAAGTCGTTTCAGCATCTTGGCTGGTACGTTTTCAGTAATCAACCATTAATTTTAATAGATTGCATTTAACAAATTCAGCTGCCTTGACTATCAAATATCATGTGATTTTCTCCCCAGAAATTCTGATAAAGCATAACTGAATATATCAAGTGATTATTGCAAGATATCTTACCAATGTCTAATTACCAAATATCTCTTGATAGCTAAATACGTAAGCATTCTCGGTTAACCATCCTAACTGGTTATCACATGACATCCTGATGATATCTCACCATCAAACACCACGTGCTTTAAATTTACTACTAACTACTTGTCAAGCATTTAATTCTGCCCAAAATGATTAAGTTATTGGTAGCATACTGATTAATCATAAGAGCAGACAGTCTGATGATTCCTCAACTGATTTATCATAAGAGTTGGACATGCCCTGTTAGTTTTGTCTTCTTTATAAGCTGAGACAAGATCATATAAAACAGTGCTCTGTCACCGGGGTCAGTCTTTTCTTCCATCTCTGATTCCTGAAGTAACCAGATCTTGAAAGGCTCGTCAGTAATGAAGAGTTTAAGTTTGTATACATTTGCAAAGCATTTACATATGTCATGTGACCTGTGTGATTCATAATTCACCTTAATAGATAAGACACAGAACAATAGTGCCACGAATGAGTTGCACACAATATACAGGCATGTATCATTGCCAAACCCATCAAAAAGCTCGAATATTAATGCTGCTGTAGTTTTGTCATAGTATCTCCTCTTGACATGCCTACTTTACTTGTTTCTAGATGTGCAAATCTATGTTCATGAAACTTTGCAGACTGTAGACAGCTCACGTATTATTGCATCTTCTGTGGTATATATGGTAGGGGAAAAAAGGTCATACATCAGATCCACTTCTCATCCAAACATCAGGAGTTAACCAATGCAATGTTGTTTGGTTGTGTGGTATGTCATAATTACATATGATAGCTGTTCATTTCAATCAGTTTGGTCAGGAGTCTCACATTTAGAAGACATATGTTTGACAGTTTGCACTGCCTATTCAGCCAAGCTGTTGGATTAACGATGATATGGTGAAGTGTTTTATTTCCACTATATCTAACACAAACAAATGGCTATTAAGTTAACTACTTAATCCATGTATATTTCATTAGGAGCTCCAAGATTTAATATACATTTTTCAGCCAATACATCTGTGATGGTCTGCACTAATGTACTGACCAATGGGTAAGCTACAGTCTATTTGGTGAAATAACTGATAATTACAACACATATCAATTACCTTTCTCAATTTTAGGTATAGGACCAGCTATATATAGGCAGATTCTTTCAAGAGTAGAACCTCCAATTTTTGACCAGAATTTTCTTTGATGCATC